CAAGCAGATTACGAGAGCTTACGCGCAGATACAAAACGATAATTTGTGTCTGTACTGTATGAACACAGTCTATGTGGGAGGACACCCTACACCCACGGAAGTAATTATTGGAAAGGCCTATATAATTGAAAATCGTAAGATGATACAATAACATCCAAGAGACAAATCATCCTACATGATGCAACGAGGATGCAAATCTCCTCAAATGATGATGAAGTGTTTGAAGATAATAATAATTAGTGTCAATGTCAAGTAATTTACGAGTACTTGAATAGTAATTAAATTATAATTCGATTTTCATATTATAAAATAAATTCTAATGATGGCCTTCTTAAAACACTGTGGTATTGCTAATCCTTTACAGTATCATGTCTGTGTATGCCAGTGATTGGGCGATGCAGAATAATTTTAAATCGTGATTCTACAGTGACGCACTTTTGAGCACTGGATGCATGCACCATTCGAACCCGACAACAATATCGTCGATGACCTCATTACTTCAATAAAACCGCCAGTACTAGAAAAATCACACAATGGGTTAGCTCTGCTGGGAGGCAATCAATTTCAGCAAATTAATTATAACCATGGTTTTTATTCTCCAACTTAAACATGTTGCGTTGACAGATTTTACTATAATTACGTCAATGGTTTAATTGGACTTAAGGAAGCAGAACAGATCACGGCTGAATTAAAAACAGATCCAGCTCCACAGCTGCACATGCTGAAGACTATCCCTTTAAACATTCACATTGTAATTGTGTACAAACAATATAAAAAACAAAATATTATTTTGTACAATAAACATTTGCGACTATTATCCAACTGAGGAAGTAGACATAAACCAAAAAGTGATACAATTTAAAGTAGGCCTACCAGTGATGAATTCAGGGGTGTCAAAAGAATTAAATAAAGTACAAATTAGTAAAAAAAAAAATATTTTTTTGATAATAGCAGACTCAGATTTTAAATATTTATTAAATAATACAAGTGTATTATTTAATAATACAAGTGTATTATTAAATAATACACTTGTAGCTTTCGCTATTAGTATCTATCAAGGTTCATCGGGCATGAGATGACCTGACGAAAAAGCAGGCTTGATAAAGCTGGTTTCAACTGCCTGTCAGCATGATTGTGATAATGTACTATTAAAAGCTAGTATTATCAGGCATTTCGCCATCTTCTCCATTGTTTAACAACTTTAGATACTTTTCACAAAAAAAATAAACCCAAAAAACTCAGATTTGGCAGTTGTAACCAAAATCTAAAAATAAAAAACAGGCTTCAAATACTGTAGATCTTTTTCTAATCCTATTTATGCTCTCGGGGTTCAAATGGATGAAACTGAAAGATTCATGAATTCCTCAAGGTGTACTAAAATAATAGTAGAACACTATATTCAGATTTTTTTTTAGATATTTATTCATTTGAATGAAAGCAAGGTCTAATTTGTAATTAATTTATAACTTCATGTAGAAACATGAACAAAATATCTTGCAATCTTGGATATTTTATGACTCATCATACAGTGACTCTAATTTACATTTTATAGCAATATAAAAGTACAATTATTTTTTCTCTATAAAATTGACATGCTGTAGAAAGAACTTTCCAACTACAAAACTTAAACTTGTCTTGCTATTATAGGCCTATCAGACATCCTTTCTTTTAATCATTAACATGACGATTCTCTATATTTGCAAAGAAGATCTTTTAAGGAAAAGAACCAAGAAACATATTTTTGTATTATTTAGTGATATCAAATTCCAAATGACAATAAAGCGAAAGATGCATTATCTGTCATGAAAAAAAAATCAATTCCATTGCACATTGGAATAATTTATTAACTTTAATAATTAAAAAAAATAAATGAGAACAAAATTACCACCTCTAACAACAATGGAGAGTTACATCATATACCTTTCCATAAGTTGTTAAAATAAAATGATCACGAATACCGAACTTTTATCCTGCACATTGGTCTCATTAATTTTTCATTATTCATCATTCATAAATTAATGAAATCTTCATTATAATAAATGGTAATCAAATCATCTTAAATATTTATAATGATAAGAACACTTATTTATAACGATAAGAACACTTTCACAATATGGCAACATACAGTATAGGTCTCCCATACATGGCATAATGATATACAGTGTTGAAGGTTTTAAATTATAGTAGGACAGTAGTAAATATTCTAATGGTTCTGGTCTAGTTGTGGTCAACTGAAGACAGGCCAAAGAAATGACTCATCTTATAGGATCAATCCATTCTGTTGACAGGTGGTACAAAATTTTGATATAAATATTTTAGACAATGACGATGAATAAAAAAATATACATTTCTTGAAAAGTACTGTACAACCAGCATACAGTAGGAAACAATTAAAAAAATAAAATTGGAAAACAATAAAACTACTAAAAAATGATCATAGAAAGATGTAAAATAGTAAAAATAAATCAATAAATGAGGAAACCACCCAAGAAAGAACATAAATTATGAAATACCAGTATCTGCCCAAATATATTTTCTTACAGTACCTTTAGTTATTTATTACAGACAAAATATATCATTCTTAAAGAAAAGGTGGAGAGAAGATGAAGTTCTCCCTAAATAAAACTAAAACCATCCAACGGAGCAACCAAAAATATGAAAGCTCCTGGTACAGTATAGGCCTACTCTATCATGGATTTATTGTTTTTTTAATATTTTTTTTATTTTCTATAACACACCTAAATTTCTGTCATTTTAATTGCTTAAAAGAAAAAGAGTAAATAAGGTGGGGAGGAAAAAAGAGGAAGAAAGGGAAAAGGAAAAGAAAGGAGAAGGAAAAGAAGAACAATATTTTGTTGGTCACTTTTTTTTTCTGGTAGTTATGGTTCATTTATTCATTCATTGTTCACTTTATTAGGTTCTTGCGGAAAATATTTCGAGTGTATAGAGTACATGTAGATAAACATTAAAAATTACACAATAAAGAGAGAATACTGAATATTAAAAATTAAAAGCACAATAAAAACACTATTAACAATTTCATTTAGGAACATCAGATTAAAACATCATAAAAAAAGAATAAAATCACATAATTACATTATTTAGAAGTCTAATGGAGTATGGAACAAATGAGTTAAAATATCTACCAACTTTGCAATTAACTGATCTTAGCAAATTCAGTCTTTTTGACCTCATATTGACATAACATCTTCACAAATGTTGTTATAGTATATAATCTTGTTACATTTGTTACATAAGTCAGTTACTTCTGGATTTGATCCTACCCACTTTATGTAATATACTGTACATTGTAGTATAATTTTCTCCTCCACTCTACATCCACTAATGACAAAGACCTTTTTTAGGTGTGTTACAAATTTAAGGCCAACAAATGAATGTCTTAAGTGCAATGCTTGAGAAATTCATTGGAAGTTAAACTGCTCCATTTGGCTAGACACCGCTTTGTCGAGTTGGGCAGCCCATCTTGCTCATGGGAGACTCTTTCTATTGTACTCAATAATGTTTACTTTTCAATCATTTTAAATTTATTTTTTGTATATTTTCTTTGTATTTTGTGAAATGTTTTCTTGTTATTTGGATGCACCACAAGATGGTATGTGCCACTGATACAAAAGTTTTCCAATAAAGTTAAGTTCAGTTCACATGGATCATAAAATAAGCGAGTGTACTGTAGTAAACACATTCTAACCAAACTTGTTAGATGGGAAATTGATGAGTACAGCATCCATTAAAAATAACCAACCTTTTAAGAATAAACTGTAGGGAGGAGAATACGAGACATGTTCTTGACTGGTAAAGAAGATAAAAAAACACCTACAGTACTTTTTGTCTACGGACTTGCAAACGACAGCCCTACTTTTAATAGAAAACATTAATGCTCTTAGCTGGTAGCTTCTATATTGTTTAGACATTACTTGCAGAAAATCACTTTACACCACTAGGCTGTACAATAGGCCTACCATTTAAATTACATTTAATTAATTGAAGCAGCAGTAACAAATTAAGAAAAGTATATCACAGGGTACTAGTAAAGTCAAGTGAACTAATGTGGCTGCTATGTGTTGATTAGTATGGTTTAATATTTTTATCACTTACTGTACTGCAAATGCTCGCATTAAATGGGCATTATGAATGTGTACACTACAGGATGGCTCGATATATATTTTTATCGCTTTATGAAGTCCACCCTTAGCCTTTGGACCTGCTTTACAGAACAATAATGTCAGTTGTTATCGCATAATGCAAAGGTGTTTATTAATTTACTCCTGACCCCACCCCCCACCCCCAGTTAGTTTCAGCTCCACGAGCAAGTGTTCGATGATGTTGCAAATAATAATTGGTGCAATTGACTCAAAACATACCCCATGGTACCTAAACTCTTTGGTGGAGAGATACTGTACATTATGGACTAAATACTTATGAACAGAATGAAGTGGTCAACATCAGACAAATTTATTAGGCCTACAGTACTACCCAACCTTTTGATTTAAAACCTCAAACCATAAACCATAGTTCCTGTACAAATAAGTCCACCTCGTTTATAAGCCCATCCCTAAATCCTAAATGGTATAATCCCACCCACATATTTTATGTTTGGGGTTTGGCCAAACTTTTATTTTTGTAATACAGTATTTGTAGCTTTCCTTGTTATCCAGACATCTGTATTCTAGGTATCTAGTAAACATAATTTCCTACGCAATGCAATCCAATCTCTATTTGCTGTATACTATACAAATTTATCTATTTGCATGATAATAAAAGAAATTTGTAATCTGTTTACACTGTCTAAGCAGGCTAATGTATATACAGTACGATACTTAGCATTTTGTATGACAATGTAGATGACGTTATTGATACTGATGGATGAGGAAAGGATCGATAATATCATACATTATTCACAATTCCTTGTGACTTATTAAAGACAAATTATCATTTCAATCATCGAAATACTATTAATCAGAACAAAGATTTTATCTTACCTTCATCTGTTAATTCTTTTTCCAAGTTTTTCTCAGCTCTTTGACATAAATCCTCAATACGAGACTGCTGACCATTGACAACACGCAAGAAATAATGTCCATCCTTAACTTGCTCACCCTTGTCGACAGGGGAAGCTTCCTGTTGCATTTCAACAATTGCTGGGCCCTCCTGCCTTTTTGGGTCAACGACATTTGACTTGATTATCAAGCCGTCTTTATCCTTATTGTCCAACTGCTCATTACTACTATTGATGGTTTCATTTGGTTTCTGCAGCTGATTCTTCTTTGAATCGTTATTATTCCCTTCAGAAACAATCACAATGTTTTCTTTTTCCCTTACAGCTATTTTGTCATCGATCAAGCTGACTTTCCTCTCTTGAACAGGTACGTTCTGATTCAGATAGTTCTCCTGTAAGACAACAGGCTTATTTTGTGGTTCTGTTTCACAGTTCATCACCTCTGACTGAAGTTCAGATTTGGAATTGGAATTTTCAATTTGAGAGTTACTGCTTGATGCAATCTCCACAGGTCGATTTTCAGATGCATCATCACTGGACTCGTTGCCCCTTTTTGAAATGAAATCTGGACGGGCAATTCTTGACTCGCGAATATTTTCCTTCTTTACTTGACTTTTTACTTTGCCCTCAGAAACTTTAGATTCACCATTACTGACAACTGATTTCACGTCTCTGTGTTTTATACCTGTTTTGGAACGCGATTCTCTTTCTGTATCGCTACTGAAGAGCATTGCTTTTCTCATTTCAACTAAAGACCTTCGACCGGCACCCATTCGACGCAAGTTATCTGGACTAACTACCGGTTGCTTAACATCCTCGGCCCCTTTCTCTTTCGACAAGGGTTTTAAAACATTATCCTCCCAGGCTTGCCTACACCGGGCTACAAATCCTGGTATGCTACTGCGCTTTCCTTTGCGATCAGCAGGACCCAAACTCTGGCTTCGTTTAACATCCTTGCGGCGTAACTTTGGCGAGTGACTTGGGTCACGTTTGTCCACACCTGTGCGTCCAGCGCTTCTGAAGCGAACATGACTAGATGGAGCACTATGTGTACGATCTTGGGATGCATCAGTAAACCTTCCCGAGCTCCGTAAATTTGACCCTGGTGAGAAGGATGATTTGGGCCGGACTGATAATGGTTTTGTAGGACTGGAATTAGTGTCTATTCTACCAGGGCTTTTGGAAGATAATGAAGTTGGTAGTCGATGTCTAGACCTCTCAGGAGTTACTTTCCTTTTCTCTCCAATTGTTTCATTTGATTCTGTCCCTCTTCTTTGGTAAAGACTTGATGGCCTTTCTAATCTACGATCACATGGACTCACCAGCGGTTTAGCACTTACAGCAGGCTTACAACCTAATGTGTGTCTTCTATTTGAGGCTGGGCTTTTTCCATTGCCTCGACCTGCTGAAGATTCTCTCAAATCCCCATTATATGTCCTTAGGTTTGTTTCACTCGTTAGATTGCCTTCAGATGGCTTCTGTCTAGATTTTTCCTCTCTGGAACCTGAAGGGCTACTTTCCATAGTTTTCCGCCGTGGCTTTGGTGGCAAGGAAGGCTTTGAGAGGTATGGTGACACAGTTGGGCTTTTCTTAACCTTCGGTCGGACAGATGCATCAACGTGTCCATTGACAAGCCTTTTCTCATGCGAGAGGCTTGGCGAGCCAGATTTCTGTGCCGCAAGACGTGACATATTACCAGAAGTTGGCGACTTTATGCTTTTTTTACTATCATTATCTATACTATTTGGCAAAGTATTTCCGCTAGTTTTAAAGTCCATATTGCAAGCACTGCAGCTTCTCCTAGAAGCACTATTGGAGCGAGTAGCTAAGCGATCATGTACAGATTCACTTTTAGATGATATGTCCTTAGGTGACATAACAGGGATAGAGTTACGATTCCTGGGCCTTAAAAGAGAAGAATCTTTGTTCTCCTCTGCAAGTCCATTTTCAACGGGCGATACAGTGTCTTTTTCGTTAGCATTAGCATTACGAGCTTTTGGGATTGGCAGACCAGACTTGCCAAAGCTAGGTTGCCGCGTGATTTTCGAGGTCATTGAGTATGATCGGCGAGTTAGTCTCTCATTACCCGTGTTCCCACTTTTTCCCGTACTTCCTTTACTGGGAGGTTGGGGCACTACAACAGGATCACGATTAACGCCATCGCACTGCAGCTTACCACGCTTAAGCTGATCCTGATTACGACTTTCAATGTACCTAGAAAAAGAAATGAAACAAACAATATCAATATCAAACATGTTATAATAGTAAGAAGAAATTTATAAAAAAGATTTAATAATATAACATAATTAAAAAAAAAAACAACATTCAATATAATTATCATAATTAATGTTGAAAGGTTTTTCCAGATTTAAAATCATGTTACTGTAAGTTTACAAAGAATTTTACTCTACATTATTTTTTCATAATACAGCCAAAACCACCATTATATACCACATACATACTGTAGATTCCAGGCATTTGGTATAAAACAAATATTGACTATTCTAGCTTTGGGAAACAGTGAAATCTACAGTATAGCCCCCCCTCCCCCACTGGTGAGACTGTAGCCTACTTACTAACTTCCCTTGGCCTCGGGGCAATAGATTTTACCATTTCCTTCATGAGCATTCAATATTTGTATACAGTAGAAACCCTCAATTACGAACCGCAATTTAACGAATTCCTGATTTTTACGAACGTAAAATCAAATTGATGATGTCATAAAAAGTGAAGTGATAAAAAAAAATTGGCTCGAATTGTAACTGTTATTAGCATATACTATACAGTGCAATGTAATCCTCAAGTGATGGAGGCCCTCTAATGGGCCTCTTCAAATTTGGTGTTTATTATGGCTTCATACATGTGCATGCGACAAATTTTACTTCTCTTTTAAGCATCATTTTCAGCTTTAAAAGTCAAAATAGTGCTCGATTGTTTTATTAAATGATCAATATATATATAATAAACTAGTACGGTATCTGTGGAAAATTCACATTCTAGGTATTTAAGAAGGTAAAAATGTTTGATTAAAAACAAATTTGTGTGGGGCCTAGAGTGGGATCAGAATGCTTAGAAACTGCCTACAGTAGGCGTAGGCCCCCTCAGGCTTAGCTTCGTAGGCCTGTCGGCCTAGCCTAGGCCTAGTTTACAGTATGCCAGTGTAAGTAGTATATACTGTAGGAATTTGGGTCAACCCCGATTTTACAAATACCCACAATTACGAACGGCTCAGATTCCATGCCGTACGTAATTGAGGGGTTCATACTACACTCAAAATTTTCAGCGTTGGCTCCAGTGACCCAGGGTATATAAAGTGCATAAAGACAGTTTATTTCAACATGCGATATACAAATGGAGCATTAAATTATATTAGAATTTGCAAAAAAATCATGCTTTGTAGGAAATTACTTTTAAGCATTTTATTATGATAAAATTGTTTGTTGTATTGTTATTTAGCATTTTTATGATTCAAAAACAAATGTATCAAGTTAGCCAGCTTTTGAGCTGGAGAAGATATTTTTAAATTTTATCAATGTTTTTGACATTTTGTTAAATTTATTACATCTTTTCAAAACTGACTTTATTCAGATTCAGAACCTAATAATTTCTGAGATACACAAATTTATCATGAGAGAATTCTAACAGGAATTTAAAAAGATGAGACATGATTGGCTAAATAAATATCTGAAGACTCTTCAACATATAAGCAGAATTTCCTGTTTACAAGACTCTTTATGAAAATCAATTGGTCAAGTTATTAAATGATAAATATTCATACGGTACGCCGAATAACGGCTGTTCCAGATCCATTGAAAAATTAGCAACTGTTGATACATTAACTTCTAAAATATTTCTTCATTAAAAGCAAATCAGATTTGCCTAAAAATTACATACTAAAACAGGAACTATCATTTACTGTACACAGATCATCAATGCAGAGGAGTCTACCTTTAACATTCCATTCAAAGTAGAGACTAAGTCACAGTTATAAGGTAAACAGAAATATAATTAATATGGAGGTTTCCCTAATTATGATCTGTCAAATAAATTATGACAGCACACAGCATGAACAGACCCCCACTGGACTTGAAGGAAATATGCAATTACGGTCACGAATACTGTGCAACATATACTGTAGTTCTACAAACATGTGTCTTAATGTGGTTCAGATCATAGACATTATTTCCTTCCAGCAACAAAATATTCAAATATCTAAAAACCTAAATTTATTTTATTCTCCCTACTAGGTAGAAATTACTATGGTATATTATAAAATAGCTCTGATTTAAAATACTGTTTTGGCTGTTTTTTGGTTTTATGTTTAAAAAAGTTTACTGTGTAAATAACTAAATTTATCTAATTTTTAAACTTTCTTTTCAAGCTTTAAAAAGAAACCAAAACACTAGATTACATTACAGTTTACATGAATACAGTATGTGAAGTATCATTTTCCATCCATAAACATTTAGGAATGTGAACTTAACTCTTCAACTTTCGAATCTTCATCATTATGAAAGTTTTAAAAGCATGCAAAATGATAGAACTTTAACCACAACTTATGAACAAGTCATTAGCTCTAATTTTTCCTTTTCTTTGCTCTAACATTATAATTCCATTCTATTGAGAAATAACTTTGAAGACACACTGACATCACAATATGGTTTAGTTACTGTAGAGTATTGCATCATATCCTATTCTACAGTACTGTATGGTATTCAGACATGTGCTAATTTAACATTCCCCCCACGCACAACATTTGGGAAATATCTGAAACCACAATATAATAATCTTACAGTAGGGTAAGTTGCCTTATATAAAAACATTTTATTAGTAACATATAAATTTTGTTAAATTTGAATCACAAATATGTTTATAGTTTTTGATTCAATATTCATTTATTCTATTTTCTCCATACAATTGGAGATTTGTAATAAAGACAAAAATATTTAACTCCTACTCAAAATGGGATTTACCAACTTGTAAGCCAATAACAAAAAAAATTGTTTAGCATTACAACAATTAAAAAAAATCAGGGGGAAGGAAAATATCTATGGCAAGTATTTTTAGACTACTGAAAAAATCACCTGTCAGAGAGCTTGACAAAGATGGGAGGTAATTATGTAAGTCTAGAAACATCAAACCATGATAAGTGGATACTCTGCAGTACACCAGCCTGTATCATGTAGTGATTCCTGGGTGGGTGATTTTAATCTTTCTATTTACAATGTATTACAATTAATTTGTTTCATTTATTACTTATAGTATACTAATTTGGTGAATTCACTTTTTTAAAATTTTTGAAAATGATTTTACTTTGTAACTATATAATTCTCAGACAATTTTCAAAGACTTTTGGAAAACACACACAAAAAAATTTAGGTGGGTCAAAAAGTAAGAAGAGGTGATTCTAGTATATTATTTTAATTTGGCCTAGTCTATAGAATAGTATATAACTACATCTAGGTAACTAAAAAAAAACCCACACAATACAAAGAATTTAAATAAATCAATGAGATTATAAAAATAAATTTCAATAATAATAATTCTGACCCTTTTGTGCTGACTATATCGACATGGCCTATTTCATTGAACCTGTTTCAGTCAATGGATTGTTTGGAAACCAGTATTTCATAACAATACATTACTAAATATATTTGTATACAGTATCTATTCCGTACCTTCAGATATAATAGAGGATAAAGTTGAGAACTGTCAAAATATTTACAGAAATTATTTCCATAATGAATTAAATTAATTACTGGTACAAAACCTGTTTGAAACAGAAGAAACTGTATTTTATAATCCCTATTGTGACTTGTGCTGCAATATAGAAAATACAGTGAAAAAATTAATAACTAAAAACAAATCATAACAATAATCACACACAAAAAAAAACATACCTAGTCTTCTTAAATATGGCTGAAAATTTTGAGTACCCCATGGCTATGGATGGCCTAACCGTGGAATAATCGGGAAAAAATGCGCAAAATTCTCTCTCTACTAATGGTTAATTTAGCATAGATTCATACAATGTCTAGCTAGGCAGTCTACGTCTTCGATGGCATGTGACAAGTTCGTGGCCAGCTTATAAGACCCTCAAACAGCTCACTCACTGTTTCCTTCCTCTCTGTACTATGACAGTTGAATACATTGCCCATTTCCTGTCTATTACACACGCACACAAACTACTCATCCCTTCCAACATTGGTGGCGCTTGTTTCAAATGACTAATAATAATTTGTTTATTTGATATAAACATCTTGTATATTCTTATATTATCATCTACACTTTCTTGGCTCTCAACTGTTTTCCCCTTTATATCTTTAATTATTTACTAGATAAAAGTTACATAATAATTGATTATTTGGGGATTAACTTTTTAATCCTAATTAAATATACTTTGTGAAAAGATTTATTCAGTATCCTTAAATACTTATACATAATTTTACAAGTTCAAAGAATACATCAAATAAAAATGTTTTAAAAAGAAAATTTGAAAATTATATTAATTATTTATCTGTAGGATCTGTTTCAGTATCTGTTAATGCAATTGCAACTGCTCGCCTTCACTAATGTGTCAGTTGTATTGTACTGTAGACCTATAACTTTGGTTTCAGAGTGAAGTTAATGTGTAATTTACGGCGATAATAAATGAAAGTAAGACAATTATTGTCTATCTGATTATATATTAATTGTAATATAATATTTATTGGACAAGTAGTTAGACTCTTTCATTTTTTTAATTGTAAGCCAATAAATTTAAATAAAAATTTAAAAAATTAAAACTTGTGATGGTGAAGAAAGAATCATAGCACGACATTAAAAACAGAATCAGTACCGTACTGTATGAGCAATTTCATATTTGCTCAATTTTGATAATTTTGAATTTATCATCACTGATGTTGCGTAAGGTTTTAACGTTACAAAATAAAATGCTGGTAGGTCACACCATTCTGATGTGTACATCCATGTAGAATATTTGGTGCATTATCATAAACAATCAAGTTACTGTAAGTAAGCGTCACAATCAAGATTTAAAAGATTTCGTTCCCACAGAATCGGTGACGAGTTGTCCTTGAGTATACATAAGGTTTACACTGATTAACGCGCTAAATTAATGACAGTGTTTTAACCCTTATGGTAGCAATCAACAGACAGCAGTCACAATAGGGTTGTCCTAAACAATACCTGGCCTAGTCACAGATGGAAGGTTTGACGTGGCTGGCCAGCTATTTGGCATGCCAAGTATTCTCAACAATACCTTTGGTGTTCGGATCAATACCAATGAATAGATAGATGACACTGTAGGATTTTGCACTTGAGGCAATCAAAACATAAAATCCATTCTTCCTTTCCCCTTCCTATCGACCATGCGTATACAACACGATGTGTTAAACAAGTAGGATTCAGTTTCAACGACTAATATCTGTATGTTATCTGTATTTATTCTCTGTATTATTTTCTCTCATGAGGAAAAACATTTTATTGTTGAACTACTACTAGTATTTCAGAAACACAAAAAACGGTTAATGAAATATATTTATGAATTTAAATACTGGGGAGGTGGAAGGGGCTTAGCCAAACTTTTACCCACTTAAACAATACTAAACTGTGGTAATTTGGCTATCAATTAAAAATTAGAAATTTTGCATTCTGAAAGCCATGTTTTTAGTTTCAAATGTGATTGCCCACTGTTAAAATAGTACTGTAATTATATTAAAAATTAAGTGCAAAATTCTATGGTTTTCAATTAAATTTATCACTTTGGTAGAAATGTCTGTCAAAGAGTGTGTATACTTTACTAACAACATTACAAAAAAGTAATTTGGATGTTTTACATCCAAAGACTGCATGAAACTTTTATTTTAGCCTGAGAGGTCGTTTTAGGCAGGCATAACGGTTTTGGTTCTATCTCATCACTTTATGTAGCTATAGTAAACAAAAAAAAAATATATCATTAATAATTTTTAAAAAAAATTTTAATGAAGTTTATGAATCAGCCGGAAACAATTTTCTGTTTGCAATGACAATTAAAATATCAACATGACTAATTAAAAAGTGTTCTTTTTTTAAATCAATTAAATAATATTTTCCATTCAAATAAACAGAATTAAATCAAAACAGAAAAAAAAATATTTTAATTATGTTGGTAAACTTATGCTGTGGCAAATTGTCCTAGACTTATGCAAGCTTTATAAAAGCCATATTTTCATCTCAGGTTCAACAGATTGATCATTTACTGAAATTACTGCTTAATACACTAACAGATACCGTAAACCCTCCTCAAACATAAATTGCATAGATCATCTCATTAATCCTTCATGCACATTCAAAACATGTATTTTTTCAGTATGGACATAGACTAATAATAAATACAGTAATTAATAAAAAATAATCCAAGCCAGGTGATTCTTAGCCTGCAAAAACTCCGGAAATGAAAGCTTTTCACATGTGATGGGTAAATAATGGTGTTTTAATAACGTAATTTATTTCCTCTTACTGTAAAATTCGGAAAGAATGCTTATTTATACAGTTAATTCCTCTGTAGATTAATAGGCCAACATAGAAATAAAAAAGCATTTTTAACATGTTTGTTTGTTTGTTTTTGTTTTTGGTTTTTGTTTTTTTTTTTGCGGGGGGGGGGGGGGGGGGTTGGCCGCGCCTCCATATGATTATATCTCCAGTTGTTTTGTTTAGGAAGGAATACTGGGAAAGGGATCTGGGGAAGGACAGCAGAAAAGTGATAGCAGGGAAAGGATACTAGGAAACGGAAGAAGAGAATTAAGAAAAACACAGATATAAAACTTTTAAAATATACTGATAAATATGGAAACATGTTTCAGCAAATACCAGTATAATAATCTAAAAAATTTATTGAAATCAATGTTAAAAACAGATCTAGAAAAAATGTACGAGATTACCATTAAACTGGACGATAATAAATAAAAATATGAAATTACATTGACTACAGAATATCAATATCACCTGTATATACAAGTTCTATTGTTAACTAAAAATAATATGCAATCTTCTACTAAAAACTTATTTCCTTATCAAAATATCAGCATTGCTAATGGTTCATCAATACTTAGGAAGTGTGCATAGTAAATTACTAATTAGCAGTTACAACAACAAATGACCTTGCTCTGCTAATTATTATTAATTAAAACTGTTGAGGATCAATGAAACAGAAACATGAGAAAAAAGACAGATTTAATTCCATATTTTTTAATTTTAATGGTTTTTATAGCTAAAGATTTCCTTTTTGGCAGTTAAACTTTAAATGCTTTAGCCACCTAAGTTATCTTGTTATTTACAGTAAGCCAGTAAAAAAGGACCTGATGATGGCCAAATTGAGAAGCACTCAAAACAGAAATCCGAATAAAAAACACTACTTAACTAATTCCTACTGTACACACAACATTAGAAAAATAGAGATCATGATTGAACCTCCCTCCCCTACCCTCCCCACAATAAACTGGATGTGAACACTAGTGCTTTACCAGTACAATACAGGTAAAGTTTAACCGAAAGGTCCACTGATTAATCTCAGATAAGAAAGTATAATACATACTCCAAGTATTGAAATACACGCCATCGTGTTGGGATTCAATATTTCGACATTAATTATGTCATCATCAGGAATGAAAGTAAAGTTTAAAGTCTACAACAAGGTCACCATCTAATGTTAAAATAAACATTAGATTTAATCTAATTTTTATCAAATAGCCTTTCCACAAATTAAACAATCCAGAACAAATAGACAAATAGAACAAAACAACTAATATGCACTGCAGAAAGGTTGCAATGTCAGGTAAAAATTAGATTTAAAGCTTTAAATCTATTAATGATTAACCTGAACAAAAAATTAAAATAATTTAATGATTAAAATTAATCTGCTCGATAGTTGTTGTATTTTTAATGCTGCTTAGTACCACGGTTAAGAAATAAGGGTATGCACTGGCTGAGGCTCAGTGGGATGCCTGAAAGGAATTCTAAGCAGGTAATCGGTTATCCATATCAGGAGGCTAGGCTGGTACTCAGCAGTGAGCTATCCTGGTATCCATTGCTAGCTTCCTCCTTCACATTCCTCTCGTAGGCCTACTCTACTTCATACTCATCACCGGAGGTAATGTTAGGGTTTGCTGACTCAATATAAGCCTTGTAAATTATATCTTTACAGAACCATTGTCTTGTAATCATGCTAGAGATATTATTATAAAATATTTGTAAAAAATGAAATATAATTAGAATCATAATAAGGCAACTTCAGAACCAAAAATTGTCCCCTTAATAGGGATGTCTACTGAATATGGTTTGGCCGTAGTATAAAAATGGTTTTTCCCTCTATGGGGACCACTTGCAGCCAATATAGTGGTCTTATGTCCCAAAGGTATACAATACTTAAAATATGTGAACTATGAGAGTTAAATATCAGCTGGAATTAAGGGCACTAAAACACTTAGTTCAAAGCTGCCTCTTCATCGTCCTTTAAATCGACGCTTCTTTAAATGTCTGTATAAAAAAGAACAGAAGCATTAATCCCTTCTGCATCTGATAAACACAGTAAATTATGGTACAGTACACAATCTATCTTGTTCAGTCTTCTCTGCTGATTATGAGAACATACAGGGAACTAAGTGACAATTCAATCCCAACAATCTTAAATGGTGGGCATAAAATGAAGCCTCCAATTAAGCATTTGTTTTCTGCATATTTCACACAGTCAATTTTTTTATCAGATCCCTGAATGAGTTTAATATCAGAGATATGTAAAACTGTAAGATTGAATTAGATGCCTGCCATGCCGTGGACACATTTCCCAGGACTCTTCACATCATATGCGTGGAATCATTGCTCGTTTAGGAATTAGATTAAAAGCGATAATCTCCCTTGATTGGCTTTACTAACCGCTAATTTTTACCTGAAAATTGGCTTACTTTACTATTTCACCTGAACAAGAACACTGGGTGCTCGAAAGCTAATGTCATATGAAATCGAACTAGTATTCAATAACTACAATTTCCGGTGTTTTCATACTATCAACAGACTATATTTCACTACTTTTCAAGCATTCAAATTCACTGCTGTTATTGGTACTAAAGCC